AGATTTGCCTCAATTAGTATATATTTTTAAAATGAACTTTTAAATTTTAGAGTAGATATATTTACAGAAAGTTGCAAAGATAATGCAGAGTTCCCACAGACCTCACTCTCAATTTCCGCTTTTATGAACATCTTACGTGACTATGATATACTTGTCACAATCAAAGAGCCAATATTGATACCTTCTCGTTAACTCTATTCCATAATTAATTCAAATTTCCTTACTTTTCCCCCTAATGTCCTTTTTCAGGAGCCCATCCAGGATACACACCACATTTAGTCATCGGCCTCCTTAGTCTTCTCTTAGCTGTGACCATTTCTCAGACTTTTCTTATTTTTAATGACCTTGACAGTGTCCAGAGGTACTGGTCAGGTGTTTGGTAGACTTCCTCAACTGCGGTTTGTCCAATGTTTTAATCGTGATTAGAATGGTTTATGGGTTTTTTGGGCGGAAGACCACATGATATCAAGGGTGCTTACGACCAGCAGGACTTATCACTGTTGGCGCTGACCTTGATCACCTGGCTGAGGCAGCGTTAGGTTTCTCCACTCCCTTCGGAAAGAAGTTGCCGTGTGCAGCTCACATTGCGACACTGCGACGTGGGAAGTTATGTGCCACTTAGGTGTATCTACAGAAATTATTTAGAATTCTTCTGAATGGGAAAATTTGTCTCTTCTCCTCCAGTTATTTATGCATCCAGTCATTTATATCGGCATGGATTCATGGGTATTTATTTTATACCCTCCGATGCTACTTTATTTTGTTGCCATTCGATTTTTGTAAACAACATTACTGAAGTAGAACTTACAAGGGCATAGATGAGTCTTAAATGCCTCCACGTGGAGAAACCCCACATCTAGCCCCAGGCACTCCGTAGGTGCCCCTGAGTGTCCACGGAGAGGAACTGAATTCCTCAGACAAGGGGCTTGGAGGATGACATCGACTTCCCATTTCAAGTTTAGAAAGTTCAAGTTCCCCACCCCACCGGGGGTAAACAGAGTTGCCAAGGGGTAAAAACATGCGCTCATCAGCAGTTATTTTTCAATGCAGTCAGCAGCTCAGGAACTTGGCTAAAGGCGCAGAGAAGGGTCTGGAGGAGGAGGGGGCTGGCCGGACGCAGTGGGCTCTGCATGCCCCTCCGCGTCTCCCCGCCTGGCCACGGGTTGGGAAGGCTTAGAGGGGCGAACTCCTTCCCAGGTTCCTTCCAGTGTGGCTTGCTCTGCCCTCGGTCTTCTCTCTCACACCCCCGACAGCAGCGCCCTCGCCTCACACCCGCGGGTCCAGGACGCCCTCGGTGTCAGGAGGGGCCCGGAGGCTGCCCCGCGCGGTCTGAGCTGGGGCTGGTGTCGGGGACCCCCGGCGGGCCTGTGGCGCTGAGGGGCGGTCCGAGCCGAGGACTGGCGGGGGCGGGACCCTTGGCCTGCGTCCCAGGGGGCGGTGCCGCCGCGCGAGCGGTCCTGGTACCTCCCAGGCGGGAGCAGAACAGGCGGCGCCTAGGCGGCCGCGGAGCCATGGACGGCAGCGGGCCCTTCAGCTGCCCCATCTGTCTGGAGCCACTACGGGGCCTGTGGCGCTGAGGGGCGGTCCGAGCCGAGGACTGGCGGGGGCGGGACCCTTGGCCTGCGTCCCAGGGGGCGGTGCCGCCGCGCGAGCGGTCCTGGTACCTCCCAGGCGGGAGCAGAACAGGCGGCGCCTAGGCGGCCGCGGAGCCATGGACGGCAGCGGGCCCTTCAGCTGCCCCATCTGTCTGGAGCCACTACGGGGGAG